CGCTCCTTATGAGGATCAGTCGTTGGCCGTGGCAGATTTCTTCTGGGTCTGTCAGGGGCAACTCAGGGTAACATCAGGGGCAACTCAGGGCAACATCAGGGGCAACTCAGGGCAACATCAGGGGCAACTCAGGGCAACATCAGGGGCAACTCAGGGCAACATCAGGGGCAACTCAGGGCAACATCAGGGGCAACTCAGGGCAACATCAGGGGCAACTCAGGGCAACATCAGGGGCAACTCAGGGCAACATCAGGGGCAACTCAGGGCAACATCAGGGGCAACTCAGGGCAACATCAGGGGCAACATCAGGGGCAACTCAGGGCAACGTCAGGGGCAACTCAGGGCAACGTCAGGGGCAACTCAGGGCAACGTCAGGGGCAACTCAGGGCAACGTCAGGGGCAACTCAGGGCAACATCAGGGGCAACTCAGGGCAACATCAGGGGCAACTCAGGGCAACATCAGGGGCAACTCAGGGCAACATCAGGGGCAACTCAGGGCAACATCAGGGGCAACTCAGGGCAACATCAGGGGCAACTCAGGGCAACATCAGGGGCAACTCAGGGCAACATCAGGGGCAACTCAGGGCAACATCAGGGGCAACTCAGGGCAACATCAGGGGCAACTCAGGGCAACATCAGGGGCAACTCAGGGCAACATTACCAAAAGGATGGAAGGGGCTCTGTGCCAGAGAGTACAGCTGATACAGCTAGTTGTGATAGCTGACTGGGAGGCCCTAAAGGTTGATGAGCAGGAAACCCAATTCAAAAGATCAAAGAGAACATATCAAACCGATCCCAATGCACAGCTAGATTCTATAGGCCAACCCCGGGGAATTCCTAACGAATTGAAAGCTAGAAGTGAAATTACATCAGGACTTGAATCAATATTTGTCTGGATAACTCCCAATACAAACTTAGAATGGGATCAATTACATGTATTACAATCAGCAAAGGTTGATAAATGATACTGACTCAGCATTGACAGCTCTGGGAGAACAAGAACAGGTTAATAAATGATACTGACTCAGCATTGACAGCTCTGGGAGAACAAGAACAGGTTGATAAATGATACTGACTCAGCATTGACAGCTCTGGGAGAACAAGAACAGGTTAATAAATGATACTGACTCAGCATTGACAGCTCTGGGAGAACAAGAACAGGTTAATAAATGATACTGACTCAGCATTGACAGCTCTGGGAGAACAAGAACAGGTTGATAAATGATACTGACTCAGCATTGACAGCTCTGAGAGAACAAGAACAGGTTAATAAATGATACTGACTCAGCATTGACAGCTCTGGGAGAACAAGAACAGGTTAATAAATGATACTGACTCAGCATTGACAGCTCTGAGAGAACAAGAACAGGTTAATAAATGATACTGACTCAGCATTGACAGCTCTGGGAGAACAAGAACAGGTTAATAAATGATACTGACTCAGCATTGACAGCTCTGAGAGAACAAGAACAGGCAACAAGTAGGATGACCTGGCAGAATAGACAGGCTTTAGATTGGCTCCTAACAGAAAAAGGTGGAGTCTGTGTAATGTTTGGGGAACAGTGTTGTACCTTTATCCCCAATAACACCGCCCCAGAAGGATCCTTTGGTGAAGCTATGATAAAACTCAAAGGACAACGACAAGAAGTCGGAGACATGCCTGGGATTGGCTGGACTTGACTCTGGGAAAATGGGGAGGCATGTTTGCAAAGATGGCAGTTCTGAGGTGTAGCCTTGGTAGTAATGGAGTAGGATACTGTTGCATACTACCTCTGTTGAAATCACTCTTGATTCAAACCACAGTTAAACCAATGACTGTACAGACAATTGTTAACAAATCACCTCCAGGAGGACCAGGACAGTTGATAAGAGAGAAAAAGCAATTATTATTTTAGCAAACAATTATTGTGGTTCATCCGATATTCTCCCTAACCCCCTTGCAACAGATGTGGGACACACACACACACACACACACACACACACACACTCAACCCCTTTCCTCCACAATCAACCATAAGCTCAAATGCTCAAAGGTTGTTACATCCCAGAGCCCAACTCAAGAAAGGACCTGATTTACGAATGCATATACAGTTCCAGCTGTTTGAGAAAGCATGCAAGATTGAGCAAAAATTGACACGAATTTGAGATTTGATTAACCTATGTCAAGTCCTAGGTGATGGAGATCAGATCCACCCCCTTCCCCTGAAACACACACACTCTGGTCCCCCGTTGTATTATTAGTATTAAAAGAAAATATGAAAACCCTACTTGTGTGACGACAACACCTCTAGTGGCTTGTTTTGCTAAGTGACTATCTGAGGCAGGGTTGCTTTCTTGATCTTGACAATACCATTAGTTTGATTTTCAACACATTTAGGACCAATTTGATCTGAAAGAGGTGAAGTTGGACAACATTAAATACTTCTTGCTATTTGAGAAATACCTAATCCAAGTATGGGAGTAGGGCTATAGATGATGGTGGCATCTGCATATAGATGGACCTTCGCATCAGAAATGTTTTCACACAAGTTATTTACATAAATAATGAACAATAACGGCCCAAGAATGCAACCCCGTATTTACAGAAAGCTTGTCAGAAGTCATGCCATCAACCTGTCTACATTGTGATCTAACACTAAGATAATCATTAAACCAGCAACATCATTACTTGCAAGACCTATGTTTGACAATCTCTGCATCAATAATTCACTGGGTCAAACGCCTTGGACAAATCAATTAACAAAGCAGCACAATGCTGTTGACTACACAATACATTATAATAATAATAATAATATGCCATTTAGCAGACGCTTTTATCCAAAGCGACTTACAGTCATGCGTGCATAATTTTTTTTGTGTATGGGTGGTCCCGGGGTTCGAACCCACTACCTTGGCGTTACAAGCGCCGTGCTCTACCAGCTGAGCTACAGAGGACCACATTTTATCTATAGAATGTATCACTATCAGTAATACATAGTAACTACTATGAGTCAACACCTTCTCTATAGAATGTATCACTATCAGTAATACATAGTAACTACTATGAGTCAACACCTTCTCTATAGAATGTATCACTATCAGTAATACATAGTAACTACTATGAGTCAACACCTTCTCTATAGAATGTATCACTATCAGTAGTACATAGTAACTACTATGAGTCAACACCTTCTCTATAGAATGTATCACTATCAGTAATACATAGTAACTACTATGAGTCAACACCTTCTCTATAGAATGTATCACTATCAGTAATACATAGTAACTACTATGAGTCAACACCTTCTCTATAGAATGTATCACTATCAGTAATACATAGTAACTACTATGAGTCAACACCTTCTCTATAGAATGTATCACTATCAGTAATACATAGTAACTACTATGAGTCAACACCTTCTCTATAGAATGTATCACTATCAGTAGTACATAGTAACTACTATGAGTCAACACCTTCTCTATAGAATGTATCACTATCAGTAATACATAGTAACTACTATGAGTCAACAACTTCTCTATATAATGTATCACTATCAGTAATACATAGTAACTACTATGAGTCAACACCTTCTCTATAGAATGTATCACTATCAGTAATACATAGTAACTACTATGAGTCAACACCTTCTCTATAGAATGTATCACTATCAGTAATACATAGTAACTACTATGAGTCAACACCTTCTCTATAGAATGTATCACTATCAGTAATACATAGTAACTACTATGAGTCAACACCTTCTCTATAGAATGTATCACTATCAGTAATACATAGTAACTACTATGAGTCAACACCTTCTCTATAGAATGTATCACTATCAGTAATACATAGTAACTACTATGAGTCAACACCTTCTCTATTGAATGTATCACTATCAGTAATACATAGTAACTACTATGAGTCAACACCTTCTCTATAGAATGTATCACTATCAGTAATACATAGTAACTACTATGAGTCAACACCTTCTCTATAGAATGTATCACTATCAGTAATACATAGTAACTACTATGAGTCAACACCTTCTCTATGGAATGTATCACTATCAGTAGTACATAGTAACTACTATGAGTCAACACCTTCTCTATAGAATGTATCACTATCAGTAATACATAGTAACTACTATGAGTCAACACCTTCTCTATAGAATGTATCACTATCAGTAATACATAGTAACTACTATGAGTCAACACCTTCTCTATAGAATGTATCACTATCAGTAATACATAGTAACTACTATGAGTCAACACCTTCTCTATAGAATGTATCACTATCAGTAATACATAGTAACTACTATGAGTCAACACCTTCTCTATAGAATGTATCACTATCAGTAATACATAGTAACTACTATGAGTCAACACCTTCTCTATAGAATGTATCACTATCAGTAATACATAGTAACTACTATGAGTCAACACCTTCTCTATAGAATGTATCACTATCAGTAATACATAGTAACTACTATGAGTCAACACCTTCTCTATAGAATGTATCACTATCAGTAATACATAGTAACTACTATGAGTCAACACCTTCTCTATAGAATGTATCACTATCAGTAATACATAGTAACTACTATGAGTCAACACCTTCTCTATAGAATGTATCACTATCAGTAATACATAGTAACTACTATGAGTCAACACCTTCTCTATAGAATGTATCACTATCAGTAATACATAGTAACTACTATGAGTCAACACCTTCTCTATAGAATGTATCACTATCAGTAATACATAGTAACTACTATGAGTCAACACCTTCTCTATAGAATGTATCACTATCAGTAATACATAGTAACTACTATGAGTCAACACCTTCTCTATAGAATGTATCACTATCAGTAATACATAGTAACTACTATGAGTCAACAGTAGGAAGTAACAATATTGAGGAAGGAATGATGACATGAGGGAGGAAGACATTTTGATATTTTAGCAGCCAATCGTTTAGACAGATTTACCAATACAACCTCTGATCACATGTCCAGTATTCATGACTCACCAACAAAGAGTTGAACGGTGGTTTCCTTCACCTGGCTGGTGGTCAGACTTGGAATGAAGCACTTGTAGCTTCCAGAATCAGAGAGAGTAACTCTGGTCAGCTTTAAGGAGACGTTACCGTTCTTCAGTTCTTCATAAAACATTGATGTCCTTCCCTTGTAGGATAGAAACTGCTCTTCATTGGAGTCTCGTTCATCAAGGTAAAGATGGACGTTTTCTGTTTTCAGGTGCGATCTTGTCCACTTCACTACCATGTCCTCAGCATTGACACTGGGTTTCAGGGAACATGGCAGAATGACGTCATCACCAGCTAAGGCAACGACTGGGTCAGCCGATCCAACAACCTCAGACGACCCTGGAGAAAAACAAATGACACACGGTCAAAGATAAATGGTAACTTCCTGTTCTTCCATGGATTCTGGCCCATATGAATGGACAAAGTCATTGATCATGTGACACCATTCATTCCTATGTGAAGGCATAATAGTGCATTGAAGCCAAATGAAGTCTGTTAAGATGGCGTCATGTGGGAGATTTATGTAGACAGTTCGGGCACTTGTTAAATCCACTTCAAATCAGTGTAGATAACTTGTCAAACACAATCTGGCCCGTGACACATTTCTATCCGGTCCACACAATGATTTGGGTTGTCAATTCATTTTGTCCTGCTTCCATGCAGCCCACAATGCACTGCACTATAATTCATAGCAAGCACTACCCCCACCCCTCGTCCCAGACCCCCACCCCTCGTCCCAGACCCCCCACACACCCCTCGTCCCAGACCCCCCACACACCCCTCGTCCCAGACCCCCACCCCTCGTCCCAGACCCCCCACACACCCCTCGTCCCAGACCCCCACACACCCCTCGTCCCAGACCCCCACACACCCCTCGTCCCAGACCCCCACCCCTCGTCCCAGACCCCTACCCCTCGTCCCAGACCCCCCACACACCCCTCGTCCCAGACCCCCACACACCCCTCGTCCCAGACCCCCACCCCTCGTCCCAGACCCCCCACACACCCCTCGTCCCAGACCCCCCACACACCCCTCGTCCCAGACCCCCCACACACCCCTCGTCCCAGACCCCCACACACCCCTCGTCCCAGACCCCCCACCCCTCGTCCCAGACCCCCCACACACCCCTCGTCCCAGACCCCCCACACACCCCTCGTCCCAGACCCCCCACACACCCCTCGTCCCAGACCCCCCACACACCCCTCGTCCCAGACCCCCCACACACCCCTCGTCCCAGACCCCCACACACCCCTCGTCCCAGACCCCCCACACACCCCTCGTCCCAGACCCCCACCCACCCCTCGTCCCAGACCCCCACCCCTCGTCCCAGACCCCCCCACCCACCCCTCGTCCCAGACCCCCACCCCTCGTCCCAGACCCCCACCCCTCGTCCCAGACCCCCACCCCTCGTCCCAGACCCCCACCCCTCGTACCAGACAGTGCATTGTCCTATACCCCACCCACACAAGAGCCAGCCAGTGTGCTGTATCATATCCTCACTAATGGCACTGACTGAATCTTCTACAGACAGAGTTTAAATGTGTTGAGGATAAATGTCCATACCAAGTTTTAGTTCCATCGGGTCATTGCTGTAGCCTACAGAACATGTCATCTTGGTTGTCAACAAGTTCTAAGATAAAGGACTCACACATAATATTACCACTAAAGGAACATAGGAGAATAAATCAGTCAACAGTCATCTACTTTATTAAATTACAGCCTGATGCTCTTGCATTGGGTGAATTCAATGGTGAATTCAACATCAATTGCGCTACTTTCATGTGTCCCGTTTATCAGCAGACGGAAAGTGTACAGATGTGGGTGATGATCACATTTAAAAATACCCAAATGCGGGATGATTTTGTGGGACATTAGTGGGTAATACAATTACAAAATGAACACAACCAAACTAGAACAATAACTAATTTCTGTGGCCATTCTCCACTCCCGCGTCAGTCCGGTGCATACCGAGGTCCCTCTACAACTGCACCTCCAGAGGGTTCGGGTCTCTTTGCCTCCCACCAGAGGTATTCAGCCATGTTGGTTCTGACCCGTCTATTAGAGAATATGCTTATAAAATGTTGGTTCTGACCTGTCTATTAGAGAATATGCTTACAAAATGTTGGACCTGTCAATTAGAGAATATACTTACGCCTATAAATAACTTTAAAATTAAGACCAAATATCTCATTTTTGTTTCCATATATTTTTACGATATAGCCAATTTTGACTTTGTGGCTGTGGTAACTAGTGGAAACAGTTCTCTTTAGGCCAGGCTTGATGTTATCATGTGGGAGTGGGGCAGCTAAGCAAAACAATCGTGCATTTTGTGATAAAAGCACCAAATTTGGCACAGATGTAGATTTATGCAAAATCATTACATTTTAGTAATTTAGCAGATGCTCTTATCCAGAGCAATTAGGGTTAAGTGCCTTGCTCAAGGGCACAGACAGATTTTTCACCTAGTCGGCTCTGGGATTCAAAGATTGTTGTTCCAGATTTTTCAGTTTAGAAGCTTGATGAGAAGATTTAGGGCCACGCAGACCTTTTGGAGGCATGTGCTCAAACAACAAAATGGCACCCCGAAAATGTAATTTCCTGCAACTAAAAAAGGGGGAAGCAGCACATCTTACAATCTGATGAGTAAAGTATTTGGCAGAACTATTTTGAAATGGAAGAAATTCTGCACTTATTAAATATAACCAACACAATTCCAGTCAATATATACGATTGTAAGAAATACTGAAGCCTACCATGACTATATCCAACCTAACTCCAAATACTGTAGCCTACCATGACTATATTCAACCTAACTCCAAATACTGTAGCCTACCATGACTATATCCAACCCAACTCCAAATACTGTGGCCAACCATGACTATATCCAACCCAACTCCAAATACTGTGGCCTACCATGACTATATCCAACCCAACTCCAAATACTGTAGCCTACCATGACTATATCCAACCCGACTCCAAATACTGTGGCCTACCATGACTATATCCAACCCAACTCCAAATACTGTGGCCTACCATGACTATATCCAACCCAACTCCAAATACTGTAGCCTACCATGACTATATCCAACCCAACTCCAAATACTGTAGCCTACCATGACTATATCCAACTATATCCAACCCAACTCCAAATACTGTAGCCTACCATGACTATATCCAACTATATCCAACCCAACTCCAAATACTGTAGCCTACCATGACTATATCCAACCCAACTCCAAATACTGTAGCCTACCATGACTATATCCAACCCAACTCCAAATACTGTAGCCTACCATGACTATATCCAACCCAACTCCAAATACTGTAGCCTACCATGACTATATCCAACCTAACTCCAAATACTGTGGCCTACCATGACTATATCCAACTATATCCAACCCAACTCCAAATACTGTGGCCTACCATGACTATATCCAACCCAACTCCAAATACTGTAGCCTACCAAGACTTTGCTGGTGTAATTTTCAAAGCATTTCCGTTAACTGTACGGTCCAGAGAGATTGGTGTACAATGTATTTGGTTTGGTTTGACTGGTGGGGGACGTTAGGATTGGATGAAGCCTGGCCATGCCTAGTTCAGCTTTGACTGGTGGGGGACGTTTGACTGGTGGGGGACGTTAGGATTGGATGAAGCCTGGCCATGCCTAGTTCAGCTTTGACTGGTGGGGGACGTTTGACTGGTGGGGGACGTTAGGATTGGATGAAGCCTGGCCACGCCTAGTTCAGCTTTGACTGGTGGGGGACATTAGGATTGGATGAAGCCTGGCCACGCCTAGTTCAGCTTTGACTGGTGGGGGACGTTTGACTGGTGGGGGACGTTAGGATTGGATGAAGCCTGGCCACGCCTAGTTCAGCTTTGACTGCTAGGTGTTTTGCTATTGATTAGCTTTACAATTTGGATTTAGTAGCAAGGCTGTACGATTAATTGAATTCAGATCAAAATTGTGATATTGATATGTGCAATATCCGTATTGCAAGAGACTGTGGTTTGACCCTATTGACCTATCAACTGTCTGGTAGAGCTCTGTAATAGGCCTGTTTAACTGAAAACACTGGATAATCTCAAAACATGGTTAAAACTGTCCAATTCCCTTACAAAAATGGTCAATTGGACAGGTGCCAATGGCAAGCAAGCCCTGAAAATAAATTCTAAAACACAGGCAGCCAGTGCAGAGACCTTAAAACAGGTGTAATGTGTGCTCTCCGTCTGGTAACACAGGCAGCCAGTGGTGACGGTGTGGTGGTGGTGGTGATGGGCAGAGACCTTAAAACCGGTGTAATGTGTGCTCTCTGTCTGGTAACACAGGCAGCCAGTGGTGACGGTGTGGTGGTGGTGGTGATGGGCAGAGACCTTAAAACCGGTGTAATGTGTGCTCTCTGTCTGGTAACACAGGCAGCCAGTGGTGACGGTGTGGTGGTGGTGGTGATGGGCAGAGACCTTAAAACCGGTGTAATGTGTGCTCTCCGTCTGGTAACACAGGCAGCCAGTGGTGACGGTGTGGTGGTGGTGGTGATGGGCAGAGACCTTAAAACCAGTGTAATGTGTGCTCTCCGTCTGGTAACACAGGCAGCCAGTGGTGACGGTGTGGTGGTGGTGGTGATGGGCAGAGACCTTAAAACCGGTGTAATGTGTGCTCTCCGTCTGGTAACACAGGCAGCCAGTGGTGACGGTGTGGTGGTGGTGGTGATGGGCAGAGACCTTAAAAGCGGTGTAATGTGTGCTCTCTGTCTGGTAACACAGGCAGCCAGTGGTGACGGTGTGGTGGTGGTGGTGATGGGCAGAGACCTTAAAACCAGTGTAATGTGTGCTCTCCGTCTGGTAACACAGGCAGCCAGTGGTGACGGTGTGGTGGTGGTGGTGATGGGCAGAGACCTTAAAACCAGTGTAATGTGTGCTCTCCGTCTGGTAACACAGGCAGCCAGTGGTGACGGTGTGGTGGTGATGGCCAGAGACCTTAAAACCGGTGTAATGTGTGCTCTCCGTCTGGTAACACAGGCAGCCAGTGGTGACGGTGTGGTGGTGGTGGTGATGGGCAGAGACCTTAAAACCGGTGTAATGTGTGCTCTCTGTCTCTCTTGATCAGTACCCGTGCTGCAGCCTTCTGTATGTTTTGCTGTTGACCAGACGCTATAATGGCACAGATATGAAGATGAGTGGGCATTACCCTAATCTTAACACTCACTAAAGTATACTTAACAGTAACATAACCCTTGTTCCCAAACCTAACCTGAATTATTTCGACCTGGTGAGTCCACACTTCCTTGGTTTTAGCCATATTTATGACTAAAAAGAGAAGACGTATTACGATCTGAATTCTTTGTATCTCTTCAATTCAGATCATAAAACGTCTTCTCTTTTTAGTCGTGAACATGGCTACACTTCCTTCAGAACAACAGTTTTCGCCACCCTCTACTTTGCCGCGGACGGACACTATTTTCACCCCACTTCCATACAGCTACGATTTCCGTAACAATTTAGGAGAGTATTTTCACTAACCCTAACTTTAACTAATTCTCCTAACCTACTTTTGTAACTTCTCCTAACCTGCTACGAAACAGTCACTTCCATATCGAAGTAAAATAGTTTGTCTGACACGGACACCACCCTATGGCACCACCACACCCCAGACTGCTATGGTACCACCCGACTGCTATGGCACCACCACACCCCAGACTGCTATGGCACCACCACACCCCAGACTGCTATGGCACCACCACACCCCAGACTGCTATGGCACCAGAAACCCCATATCGAAGTAAAATAGTTTGTCTGCCACGGACACCACCCTATGGCACCACCACACCCCAGACTGCTATGGCACCAGAAACCCCATATCGAAGTAAAATAGTTTGTCTGCCACGGACACCACCCTATGGCACCACCACACCCCAGACTGCTATGGCACCACCACACCCCAGACTGCTATGGCACCACCACACCCCAGACTGCTATGGCACCACCACACCCCAGACTGCTATGGCACCACCACACCCCATACCGAAGTAAAATAGTTTGTCTGCCACGGACACCACCCTATGGCACCACCACACCCAGACTACAAGCCCTGTCTGATCAGACAACAACGCACAGACGATGAGACATCGTAGACTTCCCGCACTCGGTTTTGAGCCTGCACTTGAATTCGCCCCGTTTCTGGGCTTTCTTATTAAGATTATGTTCCGATAATAAAATAGCCTATAGGCTAAATAACGAAGGAATAATGTTGAGGCCTACCTGTCGTTTTCAAAGAAACACTGATGTACAGAATCCAGAAACACCAGGCCGCCGAGGTCTGAAAGGTCTTCATTTCACTAACAAAAGAAGTGTGACTCCAAGGTAAAGCTGTTTGTAACTGCTGAATAAAACTGTTAGGAGTTTAGAAAATTAACTAAAACAGTAGAAAAGCTAATTTGGCAACGAACAGAATGTAACACGGCGTCTGTTCCAGGAAATAACGTCGGAAAGGGTGGTGGCGTTTCACACTTTACTTTCACTTTCACTTCCTGTACTTGTTGTTGCATCTCATCTCGCGATATCTTGCTCCATCTAGTGTTCTGATATGGAAACTACCTTCATGTCAAATGTCCTAAAACACATCCGTCAACTAATGGCAATCATGAAATAAATGTGACAAGTAGGCTGTAGTAAATATTTCAACTAGTAACAACTTGCGATGTTCAATATTAGAAATATACTCAACCTGGAATGGAGCATTTAGAAGATACATGAAGGAAAGTGAGTGAAATTAAACACGGAGTGATTTTAATGTCATTAAGAACAAATTAAAAAACAGGCTACATGATTGAGGAAAATCATTTATTTCATTCTATATGCTACAAAGACAAAAGCAATATCTTCCCTAGATGATTAATTGAAAAATAATGGTTTTGCACAAAACGACCACAATAAAACAAAAGGGCAACATTAGTTTCATGTTTAAATAAAATAAAATAATGCTGAACTACTATAGACCAAAATGGGAAAATAAAGAAAATCATTATAATAATTGAATTCTCCTCTCCTGTATGTTTTCTAACTCTGTAACATGTAACGGTATAACATTATACTGAACCTGTAACAATAATGTCTGAACCATAACACCTATCAGTGTATCTGTTTAGACATGAAAAGTTAAGGCATTAATAATGTATCAACCATAATGCCATACAGTATATGACCAGTATATGACTGCTGTTAAAGGACAGCTGCTGAATGAATAATACAACACACAATATATTAAAACACATTCAAATAAGAAAAATACATCTAGCAGTTAATATATCACATTTGATCAAATGGAGGTAAAATGTAAAAACATACAGCATTGGGTCTCACAGTTCTATATTAGAATCCAATGAGTTCCATTCTGATGGTTGTTATGGTGATCAGGTGATCTCAGCCTCACTCTTCTTCAACACGATCACCTGTTCAACACAGAAGTAGTTCATCAGATTGGTCATGTATTTACTTATCCAATACAGTACCACTTAGAAATTGAAATCATATCAGATGATTTACTAGTCAAGACTGTGCTACTTAGAATCCTATCAAATTATTTCCAATGAATGTCCAGCTCTCCCATATCAATAGCAGGGCTATTTACTCCTTATGTCCAGCTCTCCCATATCAATACCAGGGCTATTTACTCCTTATGTCCAGCTCTCCCATATCAATACCAGGGCTATTTACTCCTTATGACCAGCTCTCCCATATCAATACCAGGGCTATTTACTCCTTATGTCCAGCTCTCCCATATCAATACCAGGGCTATTTACTCCTTATGTCCAGCTCTCCCATATCAATACCAGGGCTATTTACTCCTTATGACCAGCTCTCCCATATCAATACCAGGGCTATTTACTCCTTATGTCCAGCTCTCCCATATCAATACCAGGGCTATTTACTCATTATGTCCAGCTCTCCCATATCAATACCAGGGCTATTTATTCCTTATTTCCAGCTCTCCCATATCAATACCAGGGCTATTTACTCCTTATGTCCAGCTCTCCCATATCAATGCCAGGGCTATTTACTCCTTATGTCCAGCTCTCCCATATCAATACCAGGGCTATTTACTCCTTATGTCCAGCTCTCCCATATCAATACCAGGGCTATTTACTCCTTATGACCAGCTCTCCCATATCAATACCAGGGCTATTTACTCCTTATGTCCAGCTCTCCCATATCAATACCAGGGCTATTTACTCCTTATATCCAGCTCTCCCATATCAATACCTGGGCTATTTACTCCTTATCAATACCCAGGCTATTTACTGCTAAATGCATGAATTTAAATCAGTTACATTCCATATTTTGGTAGTTGACTCTAATCCATCCTAAGCGGTAACATACTATGGGTCACTCTGTGTTAATACCATATTTTGGTAGTTGACTCTAATCCATCCTAAGCGGTAACATACTATGGGTCACTCTGTGTTAATACCATATTTTGGTAGTTGACTCTAATCCATCCTAAGGGGTAACATACTATGGGTCACTCTGTGTTAATACCATATTTTGGTAGTTGACTCTAATCCATCCTAAGGGGTAACATACTATGGGTCACTCTGTGTTAATACCATATTTTGGTAGTTGACTCTAATCCATCCTAAGCGGTAACATACTATGGGTCACTCTGTGTTAATACCATATTTTGCCCCTGCAGCTGTTGTGTTGTAAGGTAGAAACTCACCTAATTGGTCTTGTGTGTCTTCCTGGGGTACCCTGTTTCCCCTAAACAGACAGTTATCAACACTTTAAACATGGTTAATTCAAGCTACTGTTATCAAAACACGTGAAACATGGTTTAATCAGAGCTAGTTATCAACACTTTAAAAACATGGTTCAATCAGAGCTAGTTATCAACACTTTAAAACATGGTTCAATCAGAGCTAGTTATCAACACTTTAAATATGACTCAGTCAAGAGCCACGTTTCACAACACTTTAAAAACAAGACCAATCTGAAGCTAGTAATCAACACTATTTGTCACGGTTTGGCTGAGGCTGCTCCGCTCCTTGCTCGGGCAGGCTTCGGCGGGTGGTTTTTTTGGGTGTTGTTTTTGGGGGGTTTTGGGTTGTGTTTTTTTTGGGGTGTTGTTTCCATTTGGGTTTTGGGGGGTTTTTTTTTGGTTTGTTTTTTGGGGTTTTTGGGTTTGGTTTTTTTTGGTTTTGTTTTTGGGTTTTGGGTTTGTTTTTTTTTTTTGGGGTTTTTTGGTTGTGGTGTTTTTTGGTTTGGTTTTTTGGGGGTTGTTTTTTTTTTTTGGTTTTTGGTTGTTTTGTTTTTTTTGTTTTTTTTTTTTGTTTTTTTGGTTTGGTGTTTTTTTTTGTTGGGGTTTTTTTTTTTTTGGTTTTTTTGTGGTTTTTTTGGGGGGTGTTTTTTTTTGGGGGTTGGGGGTGTGTGGGTATGTTTTTTTTTGTTTTGTTTTTTTGGTTTTGTTTTTTTTGTTTTTTTTTTGTTTTTTTGTTTTTTTTTTTGTTTTTTTTTTTTTTGTTTTTTGCCTTTTTTTTTTGGGTTTTGCTTTTATTTTTTTTTGGGGTTTTTTTGTGCATTTGGAGTATTTTGCGCACTGTTGCGTAATCGCTCGCCTCCTTGTTTTGTTGAGGCCCTTTTCTTTGTATTGTCGTGTCTTCCAGTAAAGTCTGTTGGAAGTAGCTTCCGTGTCCTGCGCCTGACTCCTACACCACATCCACATCAGCCACTGACAACTTTCATGATGGATGATTTACAGCAGGTATTTTGTTGGAATGAGGCGATCCTGTATAAACTCAGGCTCTCACCTTGAGTCCTGCTCCTGCAGTATTTCACCAGCAGTATGATGGTCACCAGCAGGTAGGGAGACATCACTAGTAGACTACACAGCAGCCTGGGTAGAGACATGGACAACACTGGAACTGCAGTTGGAGAAAGAAAACAGTTTAAAACACTGGAGATGCTGGAGAAAGATGGAAATGGCAAGAAAAATACACAGATTTAGAATAATGTTCATACATGTAAAATGTTCAGTATATTTTCATGGTTAGCTGAGTGGCGCAGTGGTCTAAGGCACTGCATCGCAGTGCTAACTGTGCCACTAGAGATCCTGGTTCGAATCCAGGCTCTGTCGCAGCCGGCCGCGACCGGGAGACTCATGGGCGGCGCACAATTGGCCCAGCGTCGTCCAGGGTAGGGGAGGGAATGGCCGGCAGGGATGTAGCTCAGTTGATAGAGCATGGCGTTTGCAATGCCAGGGTTGTGGGTTCGATTCCCATGGGGGGCCAGTATAAAAAAAAATATGTATTCACTAACTGCAAGTCGCTCTGGATAAGAGCGTCTGCTAAATGACTAAAATGTAAATGTAATGTAAAATATATAATGTCTCACCTGTCTCTGTCATCACAGTCATCCAGCTCTCTGGTGATTCTCCTTCAGAGTTGGTACACTTGTAGAGTCCTTCATCTGACTTGGATACTGCAGGGATGGTCATCTCTCCTGTAGTCTCAGTCCTGATGAGGGACCCATCTTTGTAGAAATCAGCTGTGGGGTTAGAGGGAGTTCTCTGATATCTGCAGCGTAGAGTCACTGAATCTCCCTCAGTCACAGGAAGGGCAGGGATCTCCAGGATCACAGCACCAGCTGTATATAATATATAAACATCATATATAAACAGGTCTCTCCAGGATCACAGCACCAGCTGTATATAATATATAAACAGGTCTCTCCAGGATCACAGCACCAGCTGTATATAAACAGGTCTCTCCAGGATCACAGCACCAGCTGTATATAATATATAAACAGGTCTCTCCAGGATCACAGCACCAGCTGTATATAATATATATACAGGGATCTCCAGGATCACAGCACCAGCTGTATATAATATATAAACAGGGCTCTCCAGGATCACAGCACCAGCTGTATAATATATAAACATCACTATATAAACAGGAGGGCTCTCCAGGATCACCAGCACCAGCTGTATATAATATATAACAGGTCTCTCCAGGTCACAGCACCAGCTGTATATAATATATAAACATCATATATAAACAGGTCTCTCCAGATCACAGCACTAGCTGTATATAATATATAAACAGGTCTCTCCAGGATCACGCACCCAGCTGTATATAATATATAAACATCATATATAACAGGTCTCTCCAGGATCACATCACCAGCTGTATATAATATATAACATCATATATAAAAAAGGTCTCCCCCGGTCACAGCCCCACTGTATATCTATATAAACATAAATTATAAAAGTCTCTCCAGGTCAAAAAGCACCACTGATTATTAAAAAAAAATCATAAAAAACTCTCTCCAGGTCCCCGCAAGTTTTAATATAAAAAAAAACCTATATATAAACGGGGATCTCCGGATCCGCCCCCAGCTGTTATAATAATAAAAGGGTCTCCAGGATCACAGCACCACTGTATTTAATATATAAACATCAATAAAAGGGGGCTCTCCAGGACACGCACCACTGTTAAAAATATTAAACGGGGTCTCTCCGGATCCGCCCGCTGAAAAAATATAAAAAAAATCATTATAAACAGGTCTCTCCCGATCCAGAAAACCCTGAATAAAATAAACATCATATTAAACGGTCTCCCCGGATCACAGCCCCACTTATTAATAATAAACATCATATATAACAGGTCTCCCCGGGATCACAGCACCAGCTGATATAATATAAAAACCAGGTCTCTCCAGGATCACAGCACCAGCGTATATAATATATAAACATCATATATAAACAGGTCTCTCCAGGATCACATCACCAGCTGTATATAATATATAAACATCATATATAAACAGGTCTCTCCAGGATCACAGCACCAGCTGTATATAATATATAAACATCATATATAAACAGGTCTCTCCAGGATCACAGCACCAGCTGTATATAATATATAAACATCATATATAAACAGGTCTCTCCAGGATCACAGCACCAGCTGTATATAATATATAAACAGGTCTCTCCAGGATCACAGCACCAGCTGTATATAATATATAAACATCATATATAAACAGGTCTCTCCAGGATCACAGCACCAGCTGTATATAATATATAAACATCATATATAAACAGGGATCTCCAGGATCACAGCACCAGCTGTATATAATATATAAACATCATATATAAACATAACATCAGCTATCTGAAACCAGATGAACCATTAAACACTATAATGTTAGTAGATGGTGTTTGTGGACATACCATGTACTGTGATGTTGACAGCATTGCTGTGTTCTCCAGACCCAGACTCACACCTGTACACTCCACTGTCTGGTGATATTAGTGTCACGGAGCATGAAGACCCTTGTTGTTTTCCCCAGTCAGTATTACACTCTGAAAGGTTTCCTCTGTCTGGGTTCCTCACCACTCTCCATCCAGAAGAGTTCCCCTGAACCTCACAGCTCAGAGAGACAGACTCATGTTCAAAGAACTGAGATCTGTCAGGATTGACAACTAGAGAGGCTGGAAGAGAGAGATCTGAGAGTAAGAGAGAGAGAAAGAGAGAGAGAGAGATAAAGAGAGCGTTATTAACAGAGCGAGAAGGTCATGAGAAGATGAGCTCCTGAATCTTTCAGCATTTATTTAATTATTTTTTGTTGGAAAAACAAAATACAAGGACATATACAACTATACATGTATTCATATATATGTATATTATGTATATTATATTCAACTGTACAGGATACTACCCTCCACAAGATAACCTTCACTCCAAATCAAAACTTGAAACCAACTAACAAGATTTTGGACAAAATTACCTGGAAGGGTTAGAGACTAAGCAAATACGTTTGGTGTCCACCAAAAGCCATGTGGGAGACTCCCCAAACATATGGAAGAAGGTACTCTGGTCAGATGAGACTACAACTGAGCTTTTTGGCCATCAAGGAAAATGCTATGTCTGGCTCAAACCCAACTCCTCTCATCACCCCGAGAACACCATCCCCACAGTGAAGCATGGTGGTGGCAGCATCATGCTGTGGGGATGTTTTTCATCGGCAGGGACTGGGAAACTGGTCAGAATTGAAGGAATGATGGATGGCGCTAAATACAGGGAAATTCAACATTCACAAGGCCACAGGGCCAGACAGATTACCAGGATGTGTACTCAGAGCGCGAGTGGACCAACTGGTAAGTGTATTCAATAACATTTTCAACCTCTCCCTGACCAAGTGTAATACCTACATGTTTCAAGCAGACCAGTATAGTCCCTGTGGCCAAGAACCCGAAGGTAACCTGCCTAAATGACTACCGACCCGTAGCACTCACGTCGGTAGCCATGAAGTGCTTTGAAAGGCTGGTCATGGCTCACATCAACACCATCATCCCGGAAAACCTAGACCCACTCCAATTCGCATACCGCCCCAACAGATCCAAAGATTACGCAATTTCAAATGCACTCCACACTGCCCTTTCCCGCCTGGACAAAAGGAACACCTATGTGAGAATGCTGTTAATTGACTACAGCTCAGCGTTCAACACCATAGTGCCCACAAAGCTCATCACTAAGCTAAGGACCCTGGGACTAAACATATCCCTCTGCAGCTGGATCCTGGACTTCCTGACAGGCCACCCCCAGGTGGTAAGGGTAGGCAACAACTGCCACGCTGATCCTCAACATGGGGGCTCCTCAAGGGTACGTGCTTAGTCCCCTCCTGTACTCCCTGTTCACCCATGACTGCTTGGCCAAGCATGACTCCAACACCATAATTAAGTTTGCTGACGACACAACAGTGGTAGGCCTGATCACCGGCAATGATGAGACAGCCTATAGGGAGGAGGTCAGAGACCTGGCCGTGTGGTGCCAGGATAACAACCTCTCCCTCAACGTGACCAAGACAAAGGAGATGATTGGTGTCTGGAGAGAAACAACTAGCTTGTGTCTGTTACATGGTGTCTGGAGAGAAACAACTAGCTTGTGTCTGTTACATGGTGTCTAGAGAGAAACAACTAGCTTGTGTCTGTTACATGGTGTCTGGAGAGAAACAACTAGCTTGTGTCTGTTACATGGTGTCTGGAGAGAAACAACTAGCTTGTGTCTGTTACATGGTGTCTAGAGAGAAACAACTAGCTTGTGTCTGTTACATGGTGTCTAGAGAAACAACTAGCTTGTGTCTGTTACATGGTGTCTAAGAGAAACAACTAGCTTGTGGTCTGTTACATGGTGTCTGGAGAGAAACAACTAGCTTGGGTTCTGTTACATGGTGTCTAGAGAAACAACTAGCTTGTGTCTGTTACATGGTGTCTGGAGAGAAACAACTAGCTTGTGTCTGTTACATGGTGTCTAGAGAGAAACAACTAGCTTGTGTCTGTTACATGGTGTCTAGAGAAACAACTAGCTTGGGTCTGATACATGGTGTCTAGAGAGAAACAACTAGCTTGTTCTGTTAAATGGGGTCTAGAGAAAAAACAGCTGTGTTGTTTTTCTGGGCTACAGAAACAAATGCTTGGTCTTTTTACATGGTGTCAGAGGAAAAAAAACTAGCTTGTTGTTTAAAGGTGTCAGAGAGAAAAACAGTTTGTCTGTTAAAGGTGTCTACAAGAAACAACTGGCTTGTGTCGTTACATGGGGTTAAAAAGAAACAACTAGCTTGTGTCTTTCATGGTCTGGAGAGAAAAAAACCCAGCGGGTCTTTTCATGGTGTCTGGAGAAAAACAAATAGCTTTTTCTGTTTCATGGTTTGGAGAGAAACAATAGCTTTTGGGCTTTACAAAAGGTGTCTGGAGAGAAACAACTAGCTTTGTCTGTTACGTGTTGGGGAGAAAACAGCTTGTTCTGTTAATGGGGTCTAAGGAAAAAATACTTGTGTCGTTTTCATGGGGTCTGGAAGAAAAAACTAGCTTGTGTCTGTTACATGGTGTCTGGAGAGAAACAACTAGCTTGTGTCTGTTACA